ATTTCTCCATCTTTATCCATAAAGTAATTTTGCAATTTTTAGCAATGACCCCAAGAGGTTGTGGACCTTCCTATAAGGGCTCTCTGTATACATTCTCCCACATTCCCTTCCTGGACATTTACTTTTCAAAGACAAGTCTCCCAGATCCTAGAGAAAGAGAGTTCTGTGTTGAAAAACTGGCTAAAGCCTTATTGACACATTCAAAGGATTTGCAGATATTTCAAAGAACTTACAAGTTCCTAAAATAATGCTCTCCAAAGAGTAAATTGATGGAAATCTCTGCCCTTATTTGCAACAGGGAGAATTAAATCTCTTTTAAACTTGCTTTTGTCCTTACAACATTCCCTGTGGATTGATTCATTTGTTCTGAGTTGGAACCTATAGTACTCCATATTCTGCAGAAAGTAGGTTTGGAGATCAGACCTAGACTAATAGTTTCATCGTTGTCTACAACAATTCCCCAGAAATAAATGTGAACAGGCACATAATGGGCACTCATTGATTAAAACAATACATGTTCTATAGCAGGATCTGGGGGAACAGAATCACAGAGTGGTTTGATTGAACAGAAAGCAAACTCATAACTTAATATTGTTAAACTGAAATCATTCTACAAACTGCTGGAACCAGGATGCCAGAGCTGCGGAGAGACTCTTATGTGTATCAGTGAAGACTTATCTGACTGAGAAATAGAAATCCAATGCTAACTATTTGCAGAATGCAGGAAAGGCTTGAACAAATAAGATATAGCAAGTTCTGGGTTGCAGCTGCGGGCTGATACTTTCTCCTTCTCTTGGCTCTGCTTTCTGCTATTTTATTGCTGACTGATAATTTCTCTGCTGTGGGGAAGAGGCATAACTCTCAAGCACACAGAAGGCAAATCAAGGCCAAGGCTGAGGTCTGAATGATTTGACAAGCAAAGATAAAATGAGCCACGTTTAGAATCAGAGAGTTTATTACTTACGTGGGCAGTGAAAATAAGGGTAAGCCAAAGATGTCAACACCAAGATTTTTGTACTATACAACTAAAAGCAGGACATTGAAATGGAAGGGACTAGATAGCTGCATCATAAGCTATAGGAGACCCTATATGCTTAGGAGCCAATTTGAAAATGGAAATGTGTTTTGTATCCTGCTGCTCTGTTGCCAGGGGCCAGATAGAAAGTCCCACTCTTCATCTGAACGGGGGTGGGGCAGAAGGGGAAATGAGAAACTATCTCCTTACAGCCTCTCAGGGAAATAGAGAGGCAAGTGGGGCGTGACCTTATAGCAGTTCTTTACAGGTCTCTCGTCCTGGGAGGATTACAGGGCCTTCTGCCAAACCCAGTTTAGTTGTAGCTCAAGCAATTATTTGCCTGGATGGCCTGTAAGAATATGTGACGGTCTTCAGGGCACCATGGTGGAGCCATTGTATAGCAGGAATATCTAAAAATTTCTATTTTTATAAAAATCTTACATATATCTCATTGGAGAGATTTAGAAAAGCATTTTCTAAATCCATGATTAAAAACAAAAAAAATCCCAGACAAGGGACATACTGATCCACAAATAAGGATGGTTCTTTTCGTTGTGCTTTGCTTCATTGTACTTCATAGACATTTGTAGTTTTTTCAGAAACTGAAGGTGTGGGGCCTCCCCAGTGACGCAGCAGTTTAAGCACAGCGCTGTGAAGCTGTGAAGCTCTCCGCAGCCTCTGCAGTGTGGGTTTGATTCCCGGCCTGCCACGGAGATACACACATGGCATGGCAGACCTTTCTGTCTAACCCACTGCTCCCCTCAGCAGTGTATTTTGTCAGTCTGCCTGTTCTGCTCCCCACTCTGTCTCTGGTGAATCCTCTCACCCTCCTGTGCCTCTGACCTGTACCCCAGTTCTTGTATAAATAAAAATAAATCTTTTTTTAAAAAAGAAACTGAAGGTATGTTACAATTTTTTAAGTTTATTGATACCAATTTTCTGACCATGGGTCCACTTCAAGACTCTGGATTACATTTTGGTAATTCGCTATTTTTCCAATATTATTGTTATAATTTTTCTTTAAGGTGGTATGTGATCAGTGATCCCCAGTGTTACTACTGTCATTGTTTTGAAGCTCCATGAAACTTCCCCATAGAAAGTGGCAGACTTAGTAAATATGTGTGTTCTGACTTTTCTGCCTACAGTCCATTTCCCCCAGCTCTATCCCTCTCTTCTGGTCTCCCCACCCTGACACATATAAACATTGAAAATTAGGTCAACAGATAACCCTGCAACTACCTCTAAGTGTTCAATGAAAGGAACAATTGCAGGTCTGGCTCTCAAAATCAAGCATGTTGAAAGCTGCTGTTGGATGAATACTTGGCTTCACAACTCAGTCGAGTTGTGAAGGCAAAGTTAAAGTTCTTAAAGGATGAAAAAAGTTGCTCCGGTGAACACATGGACTTTCAGCCTGTTCTAACATCCTAAGAACAAGAGATCTAATATGTTGAAATATAACATTTGGAAAAATAAAGTTGCTCTTTTGTTTGCCCATTGAATTCAACACATACAATAAACTAATTTCATAATGATATCTTCTTTTTTATCATGGATAGAACTTTTGTAATCTTCTAAAATTTACATGCTGCCATTCTAACCCCTAATGCAATGATATTTGGAGCTAGTGCCTTAGGAAAGTAATTAGGTTTTGCTTAGATGAGGAGGGTAGGCCTCTCAATGAAATTCATGACCTTATAGGTAGGAAGTAGGAAGAAGAAGGGCTTCTCTCTCGCTTGCTTTCTCTCCTCTCATTTTATTTTCTTCTCCTCCCTTCTCCCATGCAACAAGGAAATATAAGCACATGATTGGGGGCACCTTGGGACCCCCAAACTTGCATGCTCTAATACTGATGGCTCAGCCATCAGTATGCACAAAGACAAAGAAGACTCTTAGTGTAAAAGAACTTTAATAGAATTGGTGCACATAGAAAAAGATAAAAAAGAAAGTATATTCTGAAGAAAACACCCTAAAGTATTCATCTACTCATGGACAAATGCCCAGCCAAACAGGGTTAGCCCCAAGCAGGGCCACTCAGGACTGAAAAGTTGCCAGAACTCTAAAGTAACTTCTGTTGAAGAACCATAGGAAGGGGGTGAAAAAGGTCAGGCAATCTGAGACAAAAGGAACAAAATCAAAATACAAATCAAGATAGCAGCTGCCATTGTCAGCCTCCCCTCACGTGTCTCATCCACATATCTCCTTCAGGTGTCTCCGTCCCAGAATTAATAGGATGCAAGTCAGGCCACAGGAACAGAGCCCTCCCCTATTTTTCTCCCTGAGTATACACCTGCCTTCTGTGCTTCACCTGGGCAGCTCAGACCCACCCCTTATAAAGTGAATGGGAAAACATGGTTCCTCTGCTCCACATGAAAAAACATGAGAATGTAATGAGAAGGCATCTACCTTTTCTTATGCTTCCTAGCTGCCAGCATTGAGAAAACTAAAGGTTATTTAAGGCCCCTAGTATGTAATATTCTTCTATCACACCTAGATTTGATGAAGACAAACTTTTAAAGAGACTTTTAAGTATCGCTAGGTGTTTTCAAAACCATTATCTTATTTAATCTTTACAATGGATAGTCATACTTAGTTATCAAGAGGAGTTTAAATGCTTCCAGCTTGAGTGTTTCAGATTTCTGATTTTCTGACCCTATAAAGACAATACTCAGTGTCAACTGGTAGAAGGACTTGTGATAAGAACTCAAGAGGAGAGGAAAGAGGACAACACAAGCGCCCTTGGATTAAGAGCTCAGAGAGAACATATTTTATTCAGGGAAGGGTCACTGGAGCAATAGTTGAGAGATACAGATCCTGCATGTGAAAGCAAGGAACTAGAAGGAAAAAATTCAGTTGAAAAAATTTTCTGGGGCCCATGTGTTCTCTCTCATGGAGTTCAAGTAACTAATATCAGACTGTGCTGTTGGTGTTTTTTGTTGCATGAAGAAATTTCATCAGCTAAAATGAGATAGAGCTAGAATTTAAATCCAGAATTTTAAATTCATGCAACCTCATTTATTTTAGTGTCTGTAGAAACTATTATAGATACTGTCGGGTATCTCCTTCAGAAAGCCTACTCTTGAATTTGCATATCAAAGAATAAGACATAAAAGCTAATTTGGAATAGATAAAGGATTAACTGAGAAGAAGCACATTGGATGAGAAGAGCTATAGTAATTCCTTCTACGTATGACAATGTCAAGGGAAAACTATAGGGAAAATTGTTCCCTGTCTCTCATATAAAGCACAGAGTAATATAAGCACACACAAAAAGAGAGCACTGACAATATACAAATTGAAATAAGTATTCTAATTTCTGGCAAGGCTAGACACATTATATGATTGTGATGCTTATAAACTTGACTGTCAACATTACTTAAAACAGTATTATACAAATTTACTTACTATCCTGAGGCATTCTGGAGAGGTATTTTTTGTAGCATTAAGTCTGCCGTAGAAATTACCAGTGGGCTTGATAGCATAAGTTGTAGTAACAGGCAAACTGTTCTTAATATGAATATCACATTATTGCACTGCTTGTTCAGATCTACTTAAGAAATTTAGCGTCCCAGAATTCCAGGTTTCTTTCTTAAGAGTACTTAATCCTCGGGTGTTTTTTTAATTGTTCATGTCACTATGACTGGGAAACAAAGCTCTTAACAACACAAAGATTTAATATATTTCATAATTGGCTTCACCTTTCTTCAAAAAAACTCAGAGTACTACCATGCTGTGCAGGTGTCCTCTGAAATCTGAGTAGAACATTTCTATATGACAAGTGTTAGTGGTTATTGTGGAGTCTGGGAACACTGCTAGCATGATTTACATGGAAATTTCTTTTTAGCATTCCCAGATCCCAAATAACCTACAGAATCATACCAGATAGGAACATTCCCTTTCAGATGGGGGTGGGGGTGGGGGTGGGTGGGAACTTAATGCAGCTCTATGCCCTCACAATAGAACAAGCAGATGAGAAACAGGATGTAATCTCTTAAAAATACATGTCTCTAGAATATTTTCTGAGTACTAACAGAAAAAGAAATGATATGTTTGAATAATAGAAAAACTGGCACACTGAATCAAAACTCCTAAAACCACTCTGATGCCCGGAAGTTTCCCTATAAATTTCTGCTAAAGAAAAATGACATGAGAGGTGAGGATGATTTCACAAGCTACAATAACTTTAACTGTGGCCAAGGTTAACTCAGTCACAAGACTAGAACTTTAACTTGTGTTTATATATAAACTGAATCAATGTTGACAACACCTAATAGTCATCACAGAAACTCAAAACATTAATTAATCTGATACAATCCTAACAAAGAAGCTGGTTTTAGTGCAGTGGGAAGATAAGAAGAGAAGGAAAGATTTTCATGAGCTTTTTGCTGCAGCAAAAAATCTTTTATTTGTCATTTCTTCCTTAATAGGACTCCTCCCAAACCTCTACTACAAACAAAAGCTATAAGAATGTTAACTTAAAAACTGTTTCCAATAATAAACTAAGGCAAGAAAAATTTCCCTGGGACAATAAACAATCTTCAGATGTTTCATATCACAAGAAAAATAGTAAAATGTATTATTCTTCCATTAAGCCCTGCTGGCTTTCTTTAAATTATTTTATGTTATTCTTTCAATTTTTGAATAATTTGATTAAGTGTTAAGAAAATAATTATTTCTGGAAATGCCTTGAGATTTTATCAGATTGAGTTTAATAGTATTCATTATTTTTGATCATTACATTTTTGTAGCCATGCCTGGGAAACACGAGGTACAAACAAGGAAAACATATCTTTTGCAAAATAAAGAAAAAATTATAAGCCAAATTGAAAAATTCTAGATGTATTGTAGAAAGTACGTTAGAGATTTAGCCCAATTGCTTCACTGGAGTAGCTGAGGTTCAAAGAATGTAAATAAATTGTTTACTTACATCACTTATCCAGCCTAGTTACCAAACAACATATTGAGTTAAGTGGTCTCTCTACTCTTTCATATTGTTTTACTTTAGCACAAGGTCCCTGTTGAAAGCATTTTCCTCCTTTAGTCATTTAACTTATCTTGTGAATGGTGAAGTGTTGGTTAGTTAAATTATAATAGAGCTTTTTAAATTGTAAGTTGATTGGAAGTTAAATAATCAGCTCTCCAATTCCAGACCAAACACTTTAGTTAATAGTTACTTGTCAAATATGTCCTTCTAAAATGACAGAAGATTTTTGTTGTGCCAGATAAATATTAAAAATTCATGAAAATGTTTTTATAAGTAGCTTATTCCTATAGAGGTATAGGCTTTTAAGTCATCCTATAGTATAAAATATGCATGGCTGCCATATGGAATATAAATAGACTCCCAGAATATTTAACACATGTAGGGTAAGGAAAAAATGTCAGGCTTTTCTGCCCTCCCGCCATCAGGATAGATGATGGATCCCTGTGGTCCTGAATGCATGCCTGATGGCGGGCACCTGGAGTAGGGTGTGGGCATAGGTAGATGGGATTCACCTGGGCTAAGACTGGGCTTTTAAGGGCAGCATCATGAGGACGCCAATAGAAGCCAAGAGAGAAGCCGAGAAGCAGAAGCAGAAGCAGAGATCACCGGAGAGCCCAGATAGAGTGAGGATTTGCTGGGAGCTGTGAGAACTGCCAGCCTCCCAGCCCCCCAGCACCCCTGCCTGCCATATGCCTGGTGAACCCCAATAAAAAACCTGCAAAAACGACTGAGGACTCTGACTCCTCCATTACCCGGTCTGCTGGATCATAGAAAACCTGCACTGGTCCATTCCTGACCATACAATTGGCATAAGTCGGCAAGATGATCCATGCAGACGGGTATGGAGCCCTCCGTAGACCTGGAGGGACTAAGGAGTAACAGACTGTGTTTGCCTGTGACGACGCTGGAGGCGCCATGGCGGCACAGAAGGTGGACACGGTCCAGGAGCTACAGGACAAGACCTCAGCTGGAGGAGGAGACGCCTGAGAGGACCAGCCAACGACCCCTGAGGCAGCAAGAGTCATCGGCGAAAAGAGGACCACGATTTGGAGCTCACCAGTGCTGATGCAGGGAGAGGCCAACGGACTTGGACTGAACAACTTGGACTGACAATCCTGCCAGAAGGCGGAGGACCTTGGCAGGTTATGGTTTTTTTTTTTTGGGAATCTGTGGGTAGCCAGTGGGCCCTGATGGCCAAAAGCAGCCTGTGTATGCCCAGCAGCCAGGTAGAGGAGAAAATCCAACTGAGAAGGCAAAAGCTGGTGCTGATGCTAAGTTGAGAAGCCCTGAGTGGCTGTCTAGCAGCCTGAGTATGCGGAAGGCCAGTGAGTCTCGTAAAATCACCTGTGGGTGATGCCCTGCTCGTTGTCGCGTGAGGGTGAGGAGCTGAGGAACCCATCCTTGGGGGACGGGTGGGGAACGTGGCTTGGGGTGGAGCCTAAGCCGAAAGTAGAGTTTGGATCCCCGACCCATGTGCTTGTGCAGTGGGTTGGCCTGAGTGCAGGGGTCTGTGAGTCACATTGGTGGCTATGAAGGCCGAGTGTTGGAGCAACAGCAGACAGAAACCCTGAGTGTTGGCGATTACCGCCAACAGTAGAATAGAATCACCAATTCCAAAGTGAGTGCATCCTGGGGGTGGATGCTGTGTGTGGCTTGTAACAGAGACTACAGCCAGAGAAGGCCAGGAAGCCTGATGGCTCATGGCATGTTATAGTGGATGCCGTGAGCAGCATGTTATAGTGGATGCCCTCGTATGAGCAGCGCCTTCGGCAGCAGATTTGGTGGCTCATCTGCTGGTACCAATAATTGTCTTTTGCACTAGGTTGGGGCCCTGCCTGGACTTATTTGTGTTCTGTTGTATTTTGTTGTTATATTGTGATGTATTTGCTTTTATGGGCCATGGCCGCATTGTTTATGTTTGCTAAGAAAATTGTATATATGAAGACTATATGGCAGAAAACCCTTAGGGGGTGGACTGTAGGGTAAGGAAAAATGTCAGGCTTTTCTGCCCTCCCGCCATCAGGATAGATGATGGATCCCTGTGGTCCTGAATGCATGCCTGATGGCGGGCACCTGGAGTAGGGTGTGGGCATAGGTAGATGGGATTCACCTGGGCTAAGACTGGGCTTTTAAGGGCAGCGTCATGGGATGCCAGTAGAAGCCAAGAGAGAAGCTGAGAAGCAGAAGCAGAGATCACTGGAGAGCCCAAATAGAGTGAGGATTTGCTGGGGGCTGTGAGGACTGCCAGCCTCCCGGCCCCCCAGCACCCCTGCCTGCCATATGCCTGGTGAACCCCAATAAAAAACCTGCAAAAATGACTGAGGACTCTGACTCCTCCTTTACCCGGTCCGCTGGATCATAGAAAACCTGCACTGGTCCATTCCCGACCCTGCAACACACTAGATATATTTAAAAATACATTGGAAGTTTGATTTGCTTCAAATCTATTATTTTAATTGTGGGAGATTTTTCTTGAATCATCCTGATTCTAAGTGATGATTTGCATAAGTGTATATATAGATTTCCTTTCCTCTAATATTAATCTCAAATTACATCACTTAAAATGATCTCATAGCACAGGGGAAAATTAAATGCATTTTCAATCAAGAAAATAATTTAACTTAATTCAGTGATGCATGACATTGCTGGTAAATATGTCAGGATTAGTTTGACTATATTAGACTACAGTGTATTGTAAACACAATAAAATACTTTTGTGCATGAATTCAGATTTAGCTACTGAACATCTTTTTCATCAATAAAGCAAAAATGAATTGTGGCATCCATGACTTAGATAAAAAGATCAGTATATTACATCAGTTCTTTGGTGACTGGACAAAATATTAATGGAAGGATAAAGAAATATAAAAATAGAAGAGCAAATACATATCTAAAAGCAGTTAGTCAAAACTTGTTCAAAAGCCTTCAAGATGAACCACAGAGAAAAGTTTCCATATAATGAATTTCCTCATTGTAATAACTCCATTCATTTGGCAAATATTTATTGAACACACATTTTGTTCAGGCACTCTTTGTGATGTTGTGGATACAGTAATGAAAAAAAAAAAATCTGTGTTTTCCTGGAGCCTAAGTCCTTTGGGAAGAAGACAAGACTTTAAATGTCGAATGGTGATAAGACCTGAGAAGAAAAAAAGGAATGTAAGAAGGGGAGATTGGAATTGGGAACGGGTGTCATTTTAGATCTATCAGTGTCTAGAGAAAGGCTTTCTTATTAGATGATATTTTGAAGGCATGAACCATACAGACAGCTGGAAAAAATTCCAAGTAAGTAAATAGAAAGTGCAAAGACCCTGAAAGGGAAAAAATCTTGATTGTTTTGCACAACGTCAAGAGGACAATGTGTTCAGATGAGAATAAGTAAAGGAGGGAATGGCCAGGGGATACTTCAATCAGGTTATGGAGGAATTGACATCACTCAAAGAATTCAGGATTTTACTCAGAGTGAATTGGAAAGCATTGGAAAAGAGGGAATTGAGCACAAAAGCGATGTATACTTAACTTACGATATAAGAGAGGAACAATAGTGGAGAATAGTCTATACAGCGTAATAATAAACCAGTGACCAGATAGAAAGTTGATGAAATAATTCAGGCATGAACTAGTGGTATTCAACCACAGGAATAGCAGCAGTGCTGTCAGAAGTGGTGGGGTGTCTGTATTTGCAAAGTGGTGTAAATGAGTTACACATGTGAAAACAGTTTGGCATGTGGTGAGCAGAACAACGGCCTCTCCAGATTTTCATGTCTATTCCCCATGACCTATAATCTGTGAATATGTTAAGTTACATGGCAAAGGGAAATTAAGGTTGCAGGTGGAGTTAAGGTTGCTAATGAATTGACTTTAAAATAGGGAGATTATCTAAAATAGCTAGCTAGGTGAGCACAATGTAATCATAAAAAGGTCCTTAGGGGGAAAAAAAAGTGTCCTTCGAACTGGAAAAGGGAGGCAGGAGAGTAATTCAGAGGCAATATGGCCTCTGAAGGAAAATATAGAAAAAAAGCAATAGTGTTGGCCTTAAAGATATAGGAAGGAGGCCATTTGTAAGGTAAGTGGCAGCCTCTAGAAGCTGGAAAAGGCAAGAAAACAGGTTTTCTGCTACAGCCTCCATAAAGGAATTCAGTCTTGTCTACATCTTGTAGGTTCTGCAC